CTGAGACAGACTTTAATGAGACACCTGAGCTTGTTTGTCTTTCACGAGTTTTGACAGTTGTGGGCCAATCATGCAGAAACCACAAGAAAAAAAAAAAGAAAAAAAAACGTTGGCAAATTTATTCAGAAAGGGAATCCAGAATGGATGTTTAACAGGAGTGAGATTGAAATATCATTCAAGCTTGACAAGTGCACACTATCACCCATAAGCAAAACGTGTTGTCATTTGTACAAGACCTACATGAGTGGCTGATGCAATAGCCAATGGCAAAATCATCATTGTAAGAATAATTCCATAAAGTAGTGTACGTTGTTTTACGAATTTCAGCATTTAGATTGTCTGTGTTTGTGCATCTCTTTCCCTTGATCTAAAAGCGAACCTGTGGGACAGTTTCTCACTCTCACTTGGTCATTAACAGCAGCACTCGGCTCAGACTGATGAATTTGGTCATAGCAGCGGTCCTGTGGACGACTGCTGAGTCTTGTAGCCCATTAAGGGGACTGACACATAAACATTCTCATTAGGAAGTGTTGAGGTTGGCTAACCCTAGATGTGCACTGGTGTGAGCTGAGTTGGAACATGAGCAAGTGTTATCAATGAATTCTGTATGGGAAAGGCAGGCGCTTGCACAGGGCATTGACAGAAGAGTATCCAAATGTGGGTAATGCGTAAATTATTGCATTCCAGAGGTGAATAAATGGTTATTCTGAATATTTCAGTCTGTTGCAGTGCTGTTTTTTTTTCTAAATACATATTTGGGTCAGTGACATAAGAATGATGTCGACCATAAAGCAGTATTATTTTATTTTTTATTGATATAGTGTTATAGTTTTTAATTAATATTTTTAATTGTTCATAATGTATATATATATATATATATATATATATATATATATATATATTGATACATTGATTTAGATGGTTTTATGAAAAAAAACACACAAAAAAATAAATGTTTTAATTCAGCTATGATTGCATTTTAATAAGTCTATACATTTAATCATTTAATAAACACATACAAATGTATACATTTGGTATATTTTATTAATGCATTTTCTTTAATAGATGCAAGAAATAATAATGCAAACAAGTAAGATAGAATTTTGTCTTCTGAATCTTCTGTTGATCAGATGATCGGAGAGACATTTCCTTCTGATTTTGCAACACATTCCCACAATCCTCCCATGTCTGCATTTTCAGAACTTTTGTGGTCAAACACAACCAAGTCCTTGGCCATAATTGCATGGTTCCTTGATGAAGATATCCATTCCAAGCCACCGCTTTGGTTTGGCATGAGTCTCTTTTGAAAAGAACATCCATCTGTCCACTGTTTTAAACCTCATTGCACTTCCTGCAAATCCCCCCCAATGAGTATCAGAAAAAAATATTGCTCCCCAGGTGGATAAGTTATACATCACATGTAACAGATAGTTTTCCACAGAAGGTCTTTTGTGGTCTTACAAGCTTTGTTTACTCTAGCCATTGTATAACGCTCACTCACAGAGACCGCAGAGGTCTGATGGCATCCCTGTTCCCTAGAGAACCTTCCCACTTCCTGTTCCTGTCTCCCTGGAGCACAATAATTCTTAGGGACCTGTCTGTTCACCCTCAAACAATAGAGACCTGGAGTCTGCATGTGTTTGTGAGTGACTGACACAGAGAGAGCGAGAGGTTATGAGAGACAGTGTGATTTCCTGAACGAACAGCTGCGTATCTGCTCATCTTTAAGCCCTCAGAATATCATTCGCTGCTGTACCTTTAGATGACGGTGATCCATCTGCTTCGGCTGATGACATCATACATCTTGTTCATCATTAAGACGCTTTTCACGGCGGAGGAACAGATGTTGCATATGCAGATTAGACAATGCAAGCCTAAGACATATAGATGGTGCTTATTCAAACACTTACGCCCTTTGTCAGAATTGCAGTTTGAATGACTTTGCTTGTCCAATGATTAAAACAATAAAGCTCATTGGAGAAAGACTTGTTCTGGAGACACATGTCTCATGCTGCGGTACATGCTGACTGATAAACCTTTTCTAGCCAGGGGAAAATGGCTGAAGGAAATGCGATGTGGCATTTCGATTCAGAGCAGGGTCCTGGCAGGGGGCTCCGCTGTGAAATATCACGACTGTTAGCATACAGGAGCGCTGCTAGTTGTTCACACAGCAGGCTTTAGCCCTATGATTTCCCCAGCTGATAGACTTGCTGTGATCCCAGAGCTTTGTCTTCATTCTGGATTCACATGGATGGTCTTGCTGCCTTTCATTTGGGTTTAGTTACTCAAACACATGTGTTGATCAACAAATGAGAGGGTGGTTATTCAGAAAATTCGCTCACACCTGTATCCAGGTCATTTGAAAATGGCTTTGGTACATAAATAATTACGTATTATATATATATATATATATATATATATATATATAGTTTGATGTGTGTGTTTGAACAGTTCTGACACGTACCGTACAATTTGGTCACTCTGGCATTTGGAAGTTAGTTTGAGGGCATTTAGGGCATCTTCTCAGGGTTAAATTCCCTAAACCCCATCGCCTTTTCCTCCAATTCCTCTATATATGACACACAATCAGCTGTATTTTTCAGTCTTCACAGAAATTCACAGAGTTGCTGAGTCGTGTGTCTGTGTGTGTGTTTGTTTGTGAGTGCTTTACACTAATACTTTCAAAACCTGCAATCCCACAGTAAACCGAGATAAACCAAGCCTTGCTGACCCACACATACTCCGTCTTAGCTGGTCTTCTCAATCCTGTTCATTATTGCAATAATGTTTCGTAATATTTACTGTCCTCACAGTTCCTGTAAGTTCAAGCATAATGTACACTACTGGTTGTGCATCATGTGTCTTGTACTGTCTGGTGGAATGAGGGGCTATTTTCTATGCTTTTGAAGGTTGAGTTATTAGCCAAAATTATCACACATTTCGTTTTACATGTTAATCTGGTCTTAAAAAATAGGTAAATACAACCTCAGATGAAAATACATGACAAACAGTATTACATTGTGCCATTATTTATTTAACAAAAGTAAACCCGAAATGGAGAAGCCATGGGTGGCAAACGAAAGTACACTCTGTGACTTAGTTGCTTGCAGAGCCACTTTTAGCCACTATAACTTGAATTATTCATTTTTTGTATGACTTTATCAGTCTCTCACTTTGTTCTTGATGAATTTTTGCCCCAATCTTCTCTACAACATTGCATCAAGTCATTAAGGTTTGTGGGCATGTGCGCAAGCACACCAAGTTGAGGTCTGGACTTTGAGTGGTCCAGTGCAACACCTTGATTTGTTTCTTTTTCAAGCATTCTGGTGTAGATTTGCTGGTGTTTTTAGGAATATTGTTGCATGGCCCAGTTTCGGCCAAGCTCTAGCTGTCGAACAGATGGCTTCACTTTTGACTCTAGAATACTTTGGTGTACAAAGGAGTTGACATGGTCGACTCAACGACTGCAAGATGCCCAGTTCCTGTGGCTTTAAAACAAGCCCAAATCATCACCCCTCCACCAGCATTCTTGACCGTTAGTATGAGGTGTTTGTGCTGATTGGCTGTGTTTGGTTTTCAATCGTGGATTATTTTTGCATTATGGCCAAACATCTCCACTTTGGACTTTTCTGTTCAAAGGACATTGTTCAGATGCAAATTTGCAAACCTAGGCCATGCTGCCGTGTTCTTTTTCTGGCAACCCTTCCAATCAAACCATACTTGTTCAGAATTGTGCTGTCATGAACTTCAACATTTAACATGTTAATTGAAGCCTGCGGTCCGAGATGTAGCTCTAGGGTTTTTTGGAGTTTCTCTGAGCAGTGCACAGATGTTAATTTGTTGAGGCATCCACTCCTGGGAAGATTGGCAACTGTCCTAAATGTGTGAATATTCTTCCTCACTGTAGAACGATGTACTTCAAATTGTTTCTAAATGGCTGTATAACCCTTCCCAGATGGCAGCAATGATTGCTTCTCTAAGATCATTGCTGAATGCTTTCCTCCTTGGCATTGTGCTAACTAACACACAAATAAAGGGCATAAACAGGAGTACTGTTAATCAAAGATGTTTGGTCAGCAGCGCCTGACTGCTACTTACCCTCTTAATTCCTATGGAAGCAGTAAGGGTGTACTTAGCTTGTCACCCATTGGTTCTCTATTTTGGCCTAGTTTTTGTTAAATAATGACACAGTGTAATATGTAATGTGGTGTTGTCCATTTGAGGTTGTATTTACCTCATTTATGACCTACCAAGAACCAGATGATTTTTATTATGTTCTAATACTGTATGTAAAACCATATAATTTAAATTTTATGTCCTTTCTTTTTCACGTGACTGATCTTTTCAACATCGGTCTCATTGAACATGCTCTTTGGGACCGGGAGATTCGAGATGCCCAGAGAAAGATTTTGGATGTTCCACTTGCACCATTAAAACACTGTTAGACACTTTGGCGTCAACATCTTTCTCTCTTTCTCTCTCTTATTATGTATTTCTAACTGACACTACTATGCTATGCCATTATATAGATCAAACACTACTACTTTCAGACCTTTTTCAAAACCATTTTCTCCTTTATTTGCTCTTCTTCATTCTTCTCTGCAAAGAAAGCCTGTCCCCGTGGCGACATATTATTTTTACCACATAGATAATAATGAAAATGTTCCCTCCCTTTTTATTAACATTCATTTTAAAACAAACTTTCGCTGAAGAGATGTACAGGTAATCTTAGCATCATTATGGCAAGAGAACAGACAAAGAGAAAAGAAAAGGAAATGGGGAAAAGCGGGAGGGAGAATGCAGCGGGGAGCTGAGAGTGTGGACTACATAATGGAGAATGGATTATGTTTCTAAATGACCCCATTGCCATCACAGGCAGAAAAGAGGCATGAAAAGGTTGAGCTATTCTCTGCTAAAATAGTGGGCTTTTTATGTTTGAATGGAATGACCTGTCTTTTTCCTCGTCTCATTCTCTTTCGTCATTGTTGTTTTCCCATCAGAAAGAGGAGCAAGCCCGCTTGCTGCTTTCTGAGGAAGGAAAGGAGCAGCTGATGTTTGAGGTCCCGCTCAATGACTCGGGCTCAGCTGGGTTAGGGGTCAGCCTGAAAGGTAATAAGTCCCGAGAGACCGGCGAGGACCTGGGCATCTTTATCAAGTCCATAATCCATGGAGGAGCAGCTTTTAAGGTAAAACGGCACATTTACATTTGGCAGATGCATATGTCAAAACAGGAAATAAAATGCCACTTGTTTTTTTCATGGGGTTGCAGTGGTAGGTCATGAATTGTCAAATTTAAACCTACCCCTTATTCGTAAAGCCCATACCTTTAACCGCTAAGCCATAAGCATAATGTACAGTTGCCCCAAACACTTAAATTGTATGAATTTCATTACATGCATAAAGACAATCTAGTCCCAACATCATTTTATTAACTGAACATGTTCAACAAGTGAGAGCCAGAAAGTGTCCACATATACTGTTAAAATATACACTGTTGAAAAGCTGGGAGTTCAACTTACTAACCCCCAAATTACTTAGCCAACCAAAAAACATGTTTACTAATAAATGCTGTTCTTTATTCATCATTACACATTATTCATCATCACTGTTTCCACAAACAAAAGTTTCCAGGAAAAAAAATAATAAAATTAAGCAGCACAACTGTTTTCAATATTGATAATAATAAAGAATGTAACTGAAAGATCATGTGACACTGAAGACTGCAGTAATGGATGCTGAAAATATTGTTTGCCAGCACACGAATAAATAAATAAATAATTAAATAATTAATTAAATAATTAATTAAATAAATAAATGTTCTGTTTGAATGTAATTTCATAGTTATTTTAAATTATAACAATTTTCACAATATTACTGTTTTTACTGTATTTTTGTTCAAATAAATGCAGCATTTGTGAGCACAAGAGACTTAAAAAATAATAAATAATAATAAAAAATAAATAAATAAATAAATAAATAAATAAATTGTAAAGACCCCAAACTTAATTTTGAGCACAACTGATGTTTTATAACTATAATGCAAGCCAACCACTTCTTTCTATGCAATTTTTAAGTTTCTTAATTGCAATTGACTTTTTTTGGCCACTTTAGCTTAGGACGCCAGAGTAATAGGATCACTCATACAATGAGAAAAATAATGTGAATAAATAAAAAATATGTGTTTCCCCCCCATATGACAGGAGACACTGATGACAGCCTAATAGATGTCCTCACAGTGTTACACATGGCTTCAGGGTTGTGAGTTAAGACTGTAAATAGGTCATGATCCCTGTTAGCTACTCTTGGCATGTGTTTTGGTTCCCTTGACCTCTGACCTCTGTCCCTTCCACTAAATGGGGTTTCATTTGACCTTAACAGACGGGATCGGGACTGTCAGCAGGGTGCTGAGTATTTCCATAGGCTCATCTTTCTGTCTGTACTAACATGTTTTTTTTTTCAGCTGCACCTGTTCATGTTCCAGTTTCACATTCATTCGCATAGTATTGACGACAGATTGGTTGGTTGTGCCCATTTGGTTAAATAACAATCTCGATTATATGTTGTTTTTTGCAGGTGTTCAAATGATTAGAAGTCTGCACACTCTGGGTTTTGTTTCCCCATACCACAGAATAAGTAACAGAATGTTTATAGCTGATCTTCTTCAAACCAGTCTCTATAAAATTCTTCCAGCTACTGCTTAACTCAGCCATGGGAAAATGCGCTTGTCAGATATGTGGATTTGTATATATGTGTGTGCCCAAAGCATTCGCATTTATGTGTGCGAGTGTGTGAAGTTTACTTGTGAAGATAAGGGTTTGATTTGTACCTGACTGAAGCATCTTCTCACTCTGCTTTGTCAGGCCTTTAGGTTGAAAAAAAGCCGCTTTTGGGTTCCGGGGGTTGTGTAGAAAGAAAATAACTTCTTAAATCTCTGTCACTTTGAAGCTTTAGAGTCAGATCATCCCGTTCAGACGGGGGTAGAGAGAGCCACTGCAAGGTGATGCACGCGAGTTCTCATACTTGAGTCCCAGCACAATGGAACACTTCTAATTGTAATTCCCTATCCAGTCCCCAGTGAGAGAGTTCAGAAACGCTGCTTGTGTTAGCTCCAGCACATTAATGCTAATTAAAAACTCTCCAAGCCCATATTAATGAGTTGGAAGCGTCCTGAGTCTGTGGGTGGGATGCGTTTTCTCCCCAGAGCCGAAGTGGGAAGGCAAGAAAAGGTTGGGGTGAACAGCAGCGTCTACTTGCAAAGTTGTTGTTGGCTTGCACTTACAAAACTGAGGGAAACGCAGTGTAAAACAGCAGTTAGTATGCACTGAACTTGTCCTTGAGCGTCTCATTCTCTTGTCCTTCTGTCCTTCAGCACTATTGATTTGCCCCTGGGCTCATTTCAGCAGATTAAGAGTTTTCAAATGTGGGTAGCTTTCAGTTCTAGATTAGTTGCCTAAACATCATACAAAGTTAGGGAGTTTAAACACTTATTGTATACTGTAAATGCAGTGAAGAGTTGTTTCACATCATTATTATTTGTTTGAGTGTAGTAGTGTTTTTGAGTGTAGTAATTTTTGACAATTGCTGCAATTTTTTTGTTTCCAAATTGGTCATTTCTGACTTTTTGGCCCTGCAGTATATTTCTCTGGTCTAGCATGAAGACCAGTGTGATCTGAATCAATATTATCAGCAATACCTTACAAAAAAATAAAGTGGATTGAGATCACATCATGTATTGAATCTAAGTTAGTCTTCTACAAATATGTATCCAGTAGACTTTAATATCTATACATTTCCAAGTAAGGTGAACAGAATCTCCCTGTTCTACTTTGGACTTTAGATAATGCAGAGAATAGCTTGAATTAAACTTAAACTCATTGTCTTCGTAATGAGGTCATTTGGAGATGAATTAAAAATTTGAACTGTTACTCTTTAGTTATATTACACGTGGATATATTGCCACCATACTGCCAAATTGGTCTCCAAGTATCTGCATAAATTGAGAGCGCATTGAGGTTTTATTTATTTAAATTGTTACATTTGTTCTCTTAAGTTCTGAATTGGTGGTTAAAATTGTGCTCCCATCTTCTAAACATCTACCATTGATGTGTATTACAGACATTCAGCATTGAGTATAATACATAAGCGAAATGAACTACAGGGTTGGATTTCCTGAAGGAAGGCTGATTTTGGTTGCTTGCATGCATCTGCATATTAAGACATTCTGGATTAATTTTTTTTTGTATAAGTATGATATATATGGTTATTATATGGTTTATAAACAAGCAAAATGATTGAGGACTATCAATACTGCCTCTATTAAATGATTATACATTTAAGTGGAGAAAGAATGTAAGAAAGAGCACAGCAGACTGCAGATAGATTGTGTGATTTCACAGAATCAAGTTTGAAAATTAGATCATGGCTTTAATAAGGATCCCTAATTCTCTGTGACTCCAATGTCATGAAGACAGGACATCTTTTCACCCAAAGGCCTCTGTAATGAAAGCATATCTCCTTCATTTACAGAGAGCAAGGGCACAAAGTGCACACTGCCAGGGCTCATAGAGTTTGTGTGGGTGTGTTATTTCTGTAAATTGTGATTAACCGTGTGGTACTCTGATACCTCTATAGGGCACGACAGTCTGGAAAATTAATACCATTATTTTTTTTTTCCCATAGAAAAATTGTGATGACATGGACTATAAAGATTTCAAGACCTACCTCCAGCTCCAATGTTTTTAATCTGCGATATAGCCTATGTATTGCATAATCAATTATTTGAAGTTAAAGGGGAAATTTAAGTTCTATAATCGGGTGCCCTGTGCATCTACCAACCGTAAAAACGTAAAAAAAAAAAAAAAAATATGACAACCCTGTAACTTTGTATTGGTAAGCCTTTCTCTGCATGCATTTCAAAAATCAAGCCGATCTGAATTTGCTCCCCTTCTGATGTAGGAAGGGGATCTTATTATAATATCGCCTCACCTCAATCTTCACAACGCTGCCATTTGGTTTACGCAAGCGACAACAGTGTAACTAGTTCTAACGCAATGGCAAAAGTTCAAGCAAAGCATGAAAACTGTTCTGTTGTTGGCTGCAGAGACAAGAACAGAACACTATTTGGCCAAAAAATAACACCGCTGTCTTATAAAGATCTCAGGGAACTGTCGACTTGTGTTAAAGTTGAACATGACAGTACATGCAAGTCGATGAGAGGAGTCAATGTAACTCCACAACAACTACATCCATGTATCCACATTTCATTCACATTTGTTATTGCTGGAGTATCCGAAGCTTCTGTAAAATGACCGGCTGTCTTCTGAACGGGGGTGGGGATCAGCAGCTAATTTGCATTTAAAGGGACACACACGAAAACGGTGCGAATTTGGTCACTGCCAAAAAGGGGCAACTTTGACAAGCTATAATAAATTATCTGGGGGGTATTTTGAGCTGACATTTTACAGAAATATTCTAGGCACACCATAGATTTATAATACAGGATTTATAATACATCTTGTGAAAAGGGGCATACTATGTCACCTTTAAAGCTTATTGAACTGTCTTTTTTATTTATTATTCAATTATGCATAGTTTCATAGGATTAGATAAATGGGGAACCTAAACAAAATCAAAAATATCTATTTTGTGGTTAAAAATTGTGCGTTTTGCTGTATTAAAGGTAAGATTAAGTCTTCAGTGTGGATGGAGTCACAGCAAAACATTCTGATTTACTTGATATCAAGCATAGTTACTTCATCATCTTTAGTTTGTACGGTTCACTAACGATCAGCATCTTTGCTTGTACATCTGAGGCATTTTGCAAGTTCTTGCGTTAACCCTCATGTGACTCTCAGCTCTCTTTCTCTCTCACCCGGAGACAGAGGAAGCAGATCACAGGCCTCTGCAGTGAAAACACTAATTAATATTAATTGTAATGAACTTTAGGGCTTTTTATATGCCATGTAATATGCATGCCTTATAATGTGCTTATACTGTACCAGAGAGACAGAGCTTATGAATTGAGGGAAATCTACTCCTTGACAGCATGCCTCTATAGCCTCAACCGAGGATAATATGCCTTTGGAGAGCAGAGAGTTTTGCAAAATGTGAGGAAATACATCAGAGATGTGATGAAAGTAGGACATTGTCAAGGTCTTCTGATGGACAAAAGAGCCCCAATTCTAGCTGTATATTAGCGCTGGTCTTGATGTAGTGTAATGGGTAGTGTCTGAGGATGGTGAACACATTAAGATAGAGACTATGGGAAATTAAGTTCTCTTTCATGTACTTGCCCTTATTGGATAAGAAATGTATCCTACTCAAAGTCAGTTTTTAGAATCTATGTGCATCTTGCTGTTTCCATCCAGCAGTTCTTTTTTTTTTTAATGTGATATCCCAAAATGCATATAAAAGTAGGTGGATGGGAACATACTGTAGCTATGACTGACTTTTTTTATATGAAAAAATATATATATATTGGACCCTATTGACTTCCATTGTATGATCAACATATTGACATGTCTCAAAATATGTTCCACTCATACATGTTTGGAATGTCATGGGGGAAATGATGACATAATTTTCATTTTTGGGGTTGAACTATAAATGGAAGCTTGCTGGTTTGATTCATTGCTGAAGTCAAAGCTCAAACCGTTGGCAATAGTCTTGTGACACTAAATAAAGATTCTGACTTTTGATTCTGTCTTTTTTGCTTAGGATGGGCGTCTACATATCAATGACCAACTGATTGCTGTCAATGGTGAACCGCTCTTGGGGAAGTCCAACCATGAAGCCATGGAGACCCTGCGGAGGTCCATGTCCATGGAGGGGAACCTGAGAGGAATGATCCAGTTGGTGGTGCTCCGTGCTTTAGTACAACCTAACCAGGTATTTACTTACTTCTAGAACACTTAGCTTTGATCGTAGCACTCTTTTTTCTTCTCCTGCCTTAAACCTGCTGTGGTGTTTGGGTCAGTGACAAATAATGTTTGTTAAGAAATTTGAAAATCTTGTCAAAAGCATGCATCAGGTATGTTAAAATGCACATAGTGTATTTATGTTGATTTAAATTAAATTGATGAATTGATTGATTAAATGATTAAAAATTAAGATTTTTTTTTTTTTACGAAAGTTAAGAATGCATGTACCTAAACGTATCAAACGGTGGAACTACCAAATGTTATCCACCTAGATGGCATGCAAGTGTACATATATAAATAAATTCTTCATTTTAAGATGTCACACGAAAATAGATTTTATTAGAGTTATTAGAGTAAATGCTTACTGGCATTTGATGATCTCCTTGGCACACTGTTTAACACTTTCACAATAAAGTTGAAATCTCCATTCTACCTCACTGGCACATTGATGCTTGTTAATATCACCATAAAGCAGCTTCCAGTCATTCAAACAATTTTGATACGTCTATCTAGACAAAAATAATCCATGATTGTGTTTTAATGATTTGTACTTGACAAGCGTTTGTCGATTTAAGACTGGGTGCAGACAGATGCTCGCCACGTCATAAAAGCTAGTCAGAATGGCTGGTAATTGCCATTAGTTCTCCACATCCTTTAACTTTCTCCATCATTTCCTCTGTGCTGGTGGAATTCGCCTCCAGCGGGATGTTTTAGCCTTTTCTCCTCCCCTGCACCTGGGTTCGAGAGCAGCCATATGCTCACCCCAGGATTCCCTCTATATCTCACACATGCACACACACGTGCTGACACACTCCACCCCAAGGCCTCCAACTGCTCTAAAGTGGTGTGTAATTAGGATACACAAAGGAGCTGCCCCTCTGGCCGCATGGATTGATGGTTACTGGGGGCTCTTTGTTCAGACTGACAGGCTGGGAGGAATGGGCATGGCCAGGTCAGGGTGTTATTGTTCTCATAAAATAAAGATTCATGTTTATTATGCTTTATGGGCTGTGGACGCCCTCGTCATGGCTGCCAATGGGACGCAGAATCGAGTCAGGGCCGATGGGATGCCGTTGACCCTAGTGTGTAGAGGTGGGATGAGATGCTAGTTGGTGGATGGGAGAAAGAAAAGGAATTTTGGTCCTGAGGTGAAACTAACATTGGACTGACGGTGAAATATTGCTCAGCATGCTTTTTGTACCACAAATAAGAGCTTTATCCTGTAATAAATGGGAGATTAGTTTCTACACCCACAAGGCATTAAGAGGATGTATTGTTTAAGATTTTATTTCTTTATATTATGTGGTTTTTACTATTTAATAAATTTCGGCCTGTTGTAGCATTTTTATTCTTTCTAGCTCTAATAAATAAAGTCTAAAAAGTTATCTTCAAGCCTGGAGCCAGTTTTAATTCTTTACAGACTTTTTTGTGGTTTTTTTCTCCAGAGTCTCTGTGAGCTTCTGGGAATACACATGCTGATGTGTTCTAGCTTGAATATGCTGTGTCCATGTCTCCTGACCTAACTTGGCTAATTATGGGCACTTTTTTAGAGACATCAAAGACAGGCTTCATGCACACTCACAATCCCAGTCCAGGTTTGGCTAATTCTCTAAGAAAATTCATGAAAAAGCAGGCAAACTGTTAGAGGAAGGAGAGTAGGAGGAAAGCAATAGAGATAAAAAAAAACAAAAACAGATATTGCCTTGTTTGAAAGCTCCTGGAACAGCTCTTGAGTCTTTCTTCTATAATAATAATAATAAAATAAAATAAAAAGCACCTAAAAGCTTTTTTGGATATGGTACCAGGTAGAGTTGGCTGATGTATTGAATTTTTACGCTATTTTTGAGACCATTCTGTTGGTAATTTAAAAATAAGTGACGTGGCGAAAATAGTGATGATTTTAATGACTTTTTTATTTGGCCATTAAATAGTTTCTCTCATTTAAACATCAGTTTTTGTAGAGTTAGAGTTGGTAAGTGCATTTTCATGCCAGTGAATCAGTTCAGTGAAATGATTCAAAATTCTGATTCAAATAATTGCATTCATTTGGATGTTAATATTGGTACATAATAAATAAATAAATAAATAAAATAAATAAAAATAGGATACATTATTTATTTACAACAATTAGATTTATTTATTTTATTTTTCAAATAAATGTACGTGTATGTATATGTGTGTATATGTGTGTGTGTGTGTGTGTACATGTATATATATATATATCATCAATGTTTTAATATCATTTTTAGTCATTTTTAGTATAATAATATAATATATATGTATATGTGTATATGTATGTGTATGTGTGTGTGTGTATATATATATATATATATATATATATATATATATATAGTTTCATTTATATTTATTTCAGATTTTTTTAAATCCAAAAAAAAGGTAATAAAACTGGTAATAATGTTTTTATGGAATTGCGCCATGGCGGTGTCATCTCTCTTCACTCTGCAGACTAAATACTATTATACCACAGTCTGATCTAATCAATCCTTCTCACTGTTTCTCTCCGAGAGCCATCTAAACAACCCTGTCATAATCTCATTACAGCGTGGGCATTAATAATGAAAAGTGGCCCAGGGAGAGCCCACATGATCTGTGCCCCAGAGACTGTGCCAGAGGATCGCTGTGAAGTTTGCTGCTGCTGCAGGCGGTCGCTCAGACCTGCCAAGCCACTTTTGTCTTTCACAGCATGTTGAACTGTACGCTTTGTGATGCTGAATAAGACGTAAGTGGAGTCTGAGGAGTTTTTGTGGATGGGACCTCGAGCAGAGGGGTGTAGATGAGGGTAACGGACAGAGAGAGCAGTGTCTGAGGATGGTGAACACTTTAAGATAGAGGCTGTGGGAAATGACATACCTTTTATCCCTCTGACCAGTGTCGTCTTGCGTCATTCTCAGCCTGTCTATAAATGAACTACTGGTTGACCTCTCATCACAAAAAGCTTACAGCGGACCACAAACACAGACAGAATGTTACCCAATTTGTGCTGGTTCATTCACTTTAACACGGTCCTAAGCAGTAGGGTTGTGCAGAATTATGAATATAAAGCCACGTTGATAGGACATATTATATTGATAACATTTTAATAATTGTTCTAATTCTAGGAGAATATGGAAATCCACACCACAGCTTTAATAATAACGAGATAGAGGAGTAATATTGTTGGAATCACTTTCAGATTTTTTTTTTTTTTTCAGATGATGAACAAGAAATACAGCCAATCAGAATTCACTCGACTTCAAGCATTCAAAGCGGCAGGCTCATTTATAGTAAATGGAACGTAAACAGAACCGTTGCTGTGTTTGCTAATATAGTTATTGTTATAGTTATCTTTCTATTTTTTGTTCATGGTGTGTTATGAGTGTAAATATGAATTGAACAGGCCACACCTTATAGGAAGTTGAACTGGAATGACAAAGTTAGGAAAATAATTAAGAAACTGCAAAGGAATTTCATTAGTCAGTAGGACTAAGGTTTGCTCAAAAATGTTAACAAATTATGCTTTGTTATTATTATTGTTAAATGGAATACAGCCACAAATAATTTGGTTACACAGCATCACAACATGTTCACACATTTTCAGTTTTATAAGATAGATATTGACAATTTTATTTCATAATATACATATTGTTAAAGTACAGTATATCAGAAAATTCCCTAGTTCTACATTTACAGTGGTTTTATTCATTTGAAATGTACATTTTAATTTTGGTTCCTTGATTTAGTTTACAATGCATTTTCAATTCAATTCTGAATTCAGCTGCGGACTTCAAGGCGTTGTTTGCTTTGTTTTGTTTTATCACAGTGAAATTTCATTGCCCCAAAATCCCACTCCAAATAGCTGTATGTTAAGCAATACATATGTTATTTTGGGCTGTGATTGTCACATCACACATTGACAGTTGTCCCAAGTAGGTGCATTCTGGCCTTAAAGGATTAGTTCACTTTTGAAAAAACTTTTGCTGATAATTTACTCACCCCCATGTCATCCAAGATGTCCATGTCTTTCTTTCCTCAGTCGAAAAGAAATTTAGGTTTTTGATGAAAACATTCCAGGATTTTTCTCCATATAATGGACTTCAATGGGAACCGGATGGTTCAAGGTCCAAAAGATAGTGTTAATAACAGTTTCAGATGCAGCTTCAAATGTCTTTAAACGACACCAGACGATGAATAAGGGTCTTATCATGCGAAACGATCGGTTATTTCAAAACTTATTCCAAAAATGTAACTTTTCTAAGGACAAATGCTAGCCTTGCTATATTCTCTGAGGCGCGTTTGTAACGTCACGTAATACGTAATTACGTTCAAAAGGTCACGGGCGACGTAGCCGGAAGTACTGAATCAAAATCGTCCGACATAGTTGTTTTTCCTTTTAATTCCTTTTTTTTGTATACGGTGTTTGAGCTAGTTTGCGCGTTCAACTTATGCGTTCAACTTGTAAACACTGACTCTGTACTTTCGGCTACGTCGCCCGTGACCTTTTGAACGTAATTACGTAATACGTGACGTTGCAAACGCGCCTCACAGAATAGAGCAAGGCTAGCATTTGTCCTTAGAAAAGCTACATTTTTGGCATAAGTTTTGAAATAACCGATCGTTTCGCATGATAAGACCCTTATTCATCGTCTGATATCGTTTAAATACATTTGAAGCTGCATCTGAAACAGTTATTAACTGTCGTTTGGACCTTGAACCATCCGGTTCCCATTGAAGTCCATTATATGGAGAAAAATCCTGGAATGTTTTCATCAAAAATCTAAATTTTTTTTTTCGACTGAGGAAAGAAAGACATGGACATCTTGGATGACATGGGGGTGAGTACATTATCAGCAAAAGTTTTTTCAAAAGTCAACTAATCTTTTAACTAAAGGACTGTGATCTTGTCCGGATGAGGTAGAAAATAAATGGCTAATCTGGACCTCTGAGCTTCTGGTTAAACTGCAGCGCAACTACATTCCCATCCCAGCATCCCTCCAGCCACAGCATTAACCTCCTAAAACTCCTTTTTACACTCCCTCTCCTCAACCCCAAAAGTTCCTGTTAATTTTTTTTATTTCAGCAGCGTTTTCAGAATCGCATCCTCTCAAAATTGCAAGCTCTGTGTCCTCCTTTTTTTATCCTGATAAATATTATAAGGGAAATGGAAAAGTTGGCTGGGGAATCCTCATTGATCCCCTCCTGTAATCTCATTTAGTCGCCATCACTGTTTCTTCTCCTGGCAAGCCTGCGTTCTGTTCCCCACAGGCCACCTCCTCCACAGACCTGCTCTTACTGTCGTTGACATTAAAAGGGCCATATTATACACTTCTCTACCATTTGATTTTCCCCCAAAGTCCACTCAAGATGTTAGTCAAGCTTTCTTGCACCCAAAACACTACTGATTTAGTTCTACACAACAATATTGTCCAGTATCTCTGTACAGTATTACAGCCATTTGGTTTCCGCAACGGTCTGTGCACTGACCGTGTGATTTCATTTTTGTCACCGGGAGGGTCTACGCACACCGTCCATGTGCAGACCAATTTTAGTGACTGTATGCGTTGAATGTTGAGATGGAAAAGTCCACTTGGTGGCAATACGCACAGTGGTATACTGTGAAGAGTTTGTCAAAGAATCTGTCGAAACAACATGCTTTTGCAAAAACAGTAATCAGATCAGCATATTTTTTCATCTATTGTTCAAGCTTCCATTGTTTTTGTTTTGGTTCCTGTTTCTTTGTACTTGTCGAACGTATCCATCTGCGCTCATCTGCGATTGAGTAAACTTTGAGAGTGGAACGTGGAAAATTAAAAATACCTGGGCTTTTAGCGTTCAATTTTGCAGTCTGGATGTATTGGTGCTAGTTTCCAAAAGTCAGAGCCAGTAGTCACAGTTGTCGGATTTCACAGAAAATCAGGTAGTGTATAATTCTGATTTTTTTTTTTTTTGCTTCACAGACTGATTCCATCCAGTCAGACATGTTTGAACAATTTAATTCATCATGCATTTCATTGCAGCGAAGTGCATGTTTCTGTGCTTGTTTGTGTTTAGAACGACTTGAAAGCCTGGTTTGTTCTACACTTGTTTTGTGTATGATGCCCATTTTAAAAGTTGGCAAGTGAAGTATATTCCAGCCTTTAGCCTTCTACATATTGCCCGTTCACCTCAGCCAATTCTTAACATTAAAACATGAATGTTTAAACATAAAAGGTGCCCTCTATTCCAGTGGAGACATGACTTCTTGGCCTTCTCCATAATTGCTGTTTTCAGACCTTCATACCCTCAGGTCCAACCACACACACACACACCTTTATTTACAATATTTTATGTGAGCGGTTTGCTTTCCTAATGATCCACAGTATCCGAACAGGCCATTAGAAGACCCATCTGATGCGCTGCACCCTGCCTCTCTCCAGCATTCCAAATCTGCCAATCGAATTAACATATTTCATAGTGGCGCTTCAGGCCTGGGGGCAAGATAATGAAACGAATTACCATTCTGTTTTTTTTTTTTTCTCTCTTGGGGAAAGAGACAGAAAATCTGTAACATCTGTGCGAGTGGCTTAAATCCTTCATGCCACTGACATCTAGACTAATCAGATGAATTAAGAGCTCTTCCAGGAGCAGATTCTTGCGCCATTTTCATCTCTTTGTTCTCTTTCTTCCTCCAAAACCTGAGTTTCAATGTGGTATTTGTTTTGTGATGAATGCCAAAGCCGGCGTAACGATCGGCCTGCTATTTGAAAGTCTTTACCTATCCCTGTGCTCAGATTTGCCTCTTCTGTTTCCATAATTCACAAGCAAAATCGATACGGTGACACTGCTTCTCTCATTTTCTCTCGCAGGAGTTCCAGGAAGCACGGCGAATTCTCAATCGATCCTTTGATAGCTGCGTGGGACAGGCAGGGCACCTCGGCCAATCAGACGGCGCCGCTCAGCCCCCCATGGTGATGAACAGCATCTATGAGCGATGTGCGGGTGAGTGATGGGCTCGCTGTGTCTTTATCTCACAGTCGGTCCGTGCGGGAATGAGACCTTCAAGGGGAAGGCCACCCAGATATCTAGTGCTAATGTATTTCTGTCGTCTGCAGCGCATTTGCTTGCAGATTGCCTTTTCATCAGCTAGACTGATAAAGTTTGACTTTTCATTTTGACCTTAATGTGGTCAAAACAAATATTACTTTTGATATCTGAACACAAAATAGCATGTACTGAATGAAAAGCATATACATATATATATATATATATATATAAAGAATCCTTAACATTGGTTATAATGATTTTAAGAAAATGATTTTTAAGAAGTAAGTCAGCATATTAGAATGATTTCTGAAGAATAATGTGAGACTGAAGACTGGAGCAATAATCTAGCCTATTCTCAGTTGTAACTGAGTTATGGTCTGGAAAAGCGTCATAGACAAATCATTTCCAGAGGGGTGTCACCAACGGACGTCGCGGGTAGATGTAAAACCAATCAGAGCGATGAAGGAGATAACGTATGCAGAGCGGCGGCCGGCGGAGAACCATCTCCGAGTGGTATTGTTTGCTCGGTTTTTAACAAAAAGGAAACATTCAAATCGCTTAAAACAGACGCGATAGTTGATAGTTGAACTAGTGATGTTCGACGGCGGCATCCATTTTTGTAATGTAGGCTACAAAATCTGCTTCAAAATCCCAGCAGTCGTCATCGAGTAAAGCCCGCCCCAACGTTTCTGATTGGGGGCCGCGATTTTGAAGGATTGGAAATGGGCTTGAATGAGCTTTTTGCCAGACTAACTTTCAGAGCAAATCTAAATTTGCCGGAAGTTGTCTGGGTTTACCCAGGCTAGCAATGATCATGAAACATAACAGGAATAAATTACATTTTAAATAAACAAAGCAATTCCAATAGGGTCCTCACACCATTGGTGTCATTTGCAGTGTTTAAAATGACTTATTTTAAATTCTAATGTTTTATTTTTAATATATTTAGGCACAATTTTATAAAATTGTTATATTATTGGTCATTTATCAATTACAGAGACAATTTATATAGAGACATGCCACTTCCTCAATCCTCAATACAACTATATAGGGAAAACCCGTAACGCCAAAGATGGCGGTTGTATGCACATGCCCCGCCCCTCCCGCTGGAAAGCCAATCGTCTGCTTATCAGCGCAGGCATAATATATGTAACAGTATTTAATCAGTTTCATTCTATAGATTGAGTTGCCTTATGAGGGATGAAACATATTAAAGCCTTTTTAAATACCGTTTTTGTAACAGAGCAATTGTCTGAGTCTGTCCATGTGCCATACTGGAAATATGTTTGTACATGAATGTCTGTCACTAACGATACAGTGTGCTTGTCATACATGCGCTATCTTTCTTTGTCTTTCTTTCGCTCGCTCTCATGCCTGGAAAGACCCTTTTATCACAGCTGTATTAAGAACTTGAAGTTTAACTCGTCTGAGAATTGGGGCACATTTGCAATTCTTTTCATGTGAAATGCCTATGTGCATAGCCTGTCGTTTGGACCATCCCTTTAACCGAACATGAAAGAGTAACACTCCTCCTGCAGGATTTCAACACAACTAAAGACCGGCAGAGATAGAGAAAGGGGCTTAGAGTAGCTGCCTGCTTTACTCGTCTGCCGCTTTTTCCAGAGGAACGCATTTCGCACACACTGTACTCATTGGGATTCCCAGTGAGCACAATTCTAGGAAATAAAACAAATAGTCTAATATCAGCTGCATCAGATTCATATCTCCCCCTCCCTGACACCTCGCGCTTCTGCCCTTTGTTTATTTCCTTGATAGACCGATGCTCCCACATTCATAAATATGGAGTTCAAAAAATATTCCTTTCTGACAGGAAGTGGTTCTAGGTACGGTTGTCTCCTAAGCAAAGAAATTATGACAGCAAGGAGAGCGGGGGGGAAAAAAAGGAAACCAAGCCCTCGGCTCATGCTTTGATTGTGTGTTTGCGTTGGTTTCTCTCGCCCCTGACCTTGAAATTATTAAGTTGATGCGTGCTTTATCTGGGCCATGTTTCCACAGGCGCAACAGTAATGCAGTCCGTCGCATCATAGCGTAACAAACAATTTAAAATGCATAATGCCCTCATCAAGAGAGTGCTGAATTTTTTTTTTTTTCTTCTTCTTTTTGGCATATCCATTTGGGCTGAGGGAAGTAATTTACTGGTAGATGTTTGAGCTGTAAATGAAAGCTAATGATTTCGTACATATGTATGTGTATTGTGTTTGCTTTTGAAGTGGTGCTTCTCGAGAGAATCGCTCTAATTATAACCCTGGATTACAGTGGGCCGGGAGCTGAGGAGAGGGCGGAAGTGTGGGATGATATGAATATTACTGTTTCTGAACTCTGTCCATCTCTGGTGTGGGACGAGTTTTTCTCTGCCCTCTAACGCCTTCATGAGAAGATGAACTTTGAGTTTATGGAAGTTTAAATTAGGAATATTTTTGTTTATTTGCTTTATCTCTGCCCTTTCTTGATATCCTTAGCAAAACGTACTGTGCCGCTACTTGCAGTGATGTATCAGATGATAATAATAATCTGTATTTTATGCATGGTACCAAACAATTGCTACTATATCCATATATATACATTCAGAGGAAAACGGAGAGAAAACATGAAGTAAGAGGTAGAAAGACAATATGTTGCGTGTCTGATTGGAATGTATGGGCAGCTAAATGTGTTTGCGCACATGCATAGCTCTAAAAATAACTCGAATAATTGCTTGAAAGGCTCACTTATATCTAGTTCCTTGCATGCCTTCTGTTGAAAACTAGCTATTTGTGGTGACATCTGTCAATGTCTTGGATCTCACTCGGCGGCCATCTTGACTACTCCCTTCATTGGTTATTTCTAGCCATGCTAGTCCAGTTCCTGTCTACTTAAATAGGAAAAGATTGAAATATCTACATTTTTTTGGCAACATCCCTAACAGCACATGTACATCATGGAGACACCTCTCTTTCTTTTTTTAAATAGAAATTTAGAACATGTCTTTTAAGATATTTCTGATTTAGAATGCATGTATGCTTGGGATACATACAGTATCTGATGTTTGGACACAATTGATGTTTTCCAGGTGAAGCGATCTTTAAAATTTTTTCTGGGATATGTCAAATCCCCAACAAAATTGAGGTTTTTGCTGTCGCTCAAATCAATCATGTAAAAACAAAAACAAAAAAAAAAACAGTATCTTTCATTATTAGGTTCAGTTAATGGTCATGTTTTGTAAAGTAACTTCAGACTACAGAAATTAGTGAAATTTGATGACTTTAACATTCAGTTAGCACATCTGCTGTACTGAGAATTTACATTTTTTTTAACACAAACAATTTTTCTAACAGTAAATGTTCTCATAGTAATACTCGTGCAACACAATCTCCTCTGTTCCGCTTACTGTCATTATGAATATTGTGCGCAGATGTGAAATATTAAATCTGTCCAGTGCCTGTGGTAATAGATTCATACCCAGCCTTCTCAGAGAGAAACATGGCTTTTATTTCAGTTAATGTTTTACATAAGAATGTGTCTTGCTATTGCAGGGCTAGAGGTCTGGTAGCCCACACCGTTTAGGATTAATAACCCTGTTTTAGCTGGAAGAGCCATTGATCCATCATCTTCTGAAGGAACAACTTATTTCATTTCGGCTACGCCACACTTTAGTAGATAAATAATCGTGGGTGTGTATGGCTGCAAACGTGTGTACGTGTTTTCGTGTGTAATACACATCCATTTTTTCCATTCACTCCAACATCATCAGTTCATCTCTCAAGTGTGTGCATGTTCATGTGTGTGTGAGTGAGCAAGCGCGCACGTATGCATCTGTGCACATGATGTATTATGGCAGTTGTGCAGCACACAAACAGATGAGATATATAATACTAATAAGCAGTCATCCCAGTGCAGTCTGATGAGTAATGATGAAGTTCTGCTGGGTGGGGCGCTCTGATCTATGTGATTGTCAGGACCGATATCCAGCTCCACTTCGCCAAAACACAGACACTCCATCAAGAAGACAGAGAACAACGTGCTATCCATATCCCAGCAACCTACCGGAAGAAGTTAAAAATCGTACATTTTTGTGTTATTGGCCTATTGATTTTTTTTTTCTCCAAGTTCCCCAAAATTAACTATTGTCATGTTTTTTTTTTTTATTTATTTATTTTTTACACAGCCAGCATACTCTGTATATGCAGTTGACTGGGAAATTAAGTAGGAAATGATTACAAGGTCAGTCTATCTCTAGAACTGTTCATGACTGTGTTCGCACTGTAGATTGTATGTAAAATGCGTTTGCTAAGTGTCTGGGAATCTGAGGCATTTGTTTTGAATTCTACATCAGTGGCTCTCAGACAAAGACCTCCAGCCTTTGTTTTGGTTCTGCACTATTTGGCCTAACAGACATTAATAAGGTCTTTGTGTCTTTGTCATGTGGGGCTTTAGATACTGTAATTGAAAACAAAATCAACTAATGAGAGTTTTGGGTAATTCGCATAAAATGTCCTTGAGTTATAAACACACACACACACATTCAGAAACAGCTCATTGTGTCTTTTTCTGCAGCAGGTGGTTTTAGAGAGCCAGGCAACAGTAGTGTGTCGTCTGTTTAAGCAAATGAGACATGAACCGAGTGCACAATCACTGCATCATCCTGCTAACTGCACTTCCTGTGTCATTCATCTCCTCTACACATTCTGTTGTGCTGTTTGTTGCCAACACAGTATATATATCACACAAACAAATATATAGACTCATTAACAATCACTATGCAACTCGCTTCTTTCATTAGTGGATTTCATTTTCCGTTTATAGGTTTTTTTAGCATTAAATAAATGTACTTGCATATAGTGAAAATAGGAGTATAAGCATATAATTCCGTTCAAAGTTTTGTGACAATTTTTTGAAAGAAAATGAATTAACAATTGAAAAAATAATACTTTTATTCAGCAAGGAGACAAGAAATTTGAAGAATTTTTTTCCACATTTTTGTTATGTTACAGCCTTATTCCAAAATGGAATAAATTAATTATGTTCCTCAAAATTCTCTGAGCAATTCCCCATAATGACAATGTGAAAGAAGTTTGTTTTAAAAAGTTGTAAAAAATCTCATGTACATAATCATTCATAGCCTTTGCTCAATACTTTTTTGAAGCACCTTTGGTATTTTTGAGTATGATGCTACAAGCTTGGCACACCAATTTTGGGGCAGTTTCTCCCATTCTTCTTTGATGAACCTCTCAAACTCCATCAGGTTTGGATGGGTGCACAGCCATTTTCAGATCTCTCCAGGGATGTTCAATCGGGTTCAAGTCTGGGCTCTGGCTGGGCCATTCAAGGACATTCAAAGAGTTGTCCCTTAGCCGCTCCGTTGTTATCATTGCTTTATGCTTAGGGTCGTTGTCCTGTTAGAAGATGAACCGTCGCCCCAGTCAGATGTCCAGAGCGCTCTGGAAGAGGTTTTCACTAAGGATGTCTCTGCACATTGCTGCATTTATCCTCCCCCCGATTTTGACTAGTCTTCCCAGTTCCTGCCACTGAAAAACATGCCCACTGTAGGGATGGTATTGGCCAGGTGATGAGTGGTCCCTGGTTTCCTCCTGACATGACGCTTGCCATTCAGGCCAAAGAGTTCAATCTTTGTTTCTTTCAGTCCTTCGGGTGCCAAATTTTTGCCAAATTTTGGCAAACTCCAGGCGGGCTGTCATGTGCCTTTTACTGAGGAGTGGCTTCCGTCTGGCCACTCTACCATATAGGCCTGATTCTGCAGAGAAAGGTTTTCCTCTCTCCACAGAGAAACGCTAGAGCTCTGTCAAAGTGACCATCTAGTTCTTGGTCACCTCCCTGAGGCCCTTCTCCCCTGATCGCTCAGTTTGGCTGGGCGGACAGCTCTAGGAAGACTCTTAACTCACCTGGAAAAGTGAAGTGCTTGTCAAAAAAAAAAAAAAAAAAAAAACCTGAAAAAACTTTTTGAAATAAAAAAAGTAGTAAATAACAGTAAAAGTAGCATTAAAGGGATACTAATTAGATCATTAAAGGAGTTTTACCATCGAATCCATTCAGCCGATCTTTTATTTATTGTAACCAAACAGTTTCTGGTCTCATTGACTTCCATACTATGGAAGTCAATGAGACCAGAAACTGTCTGTTTACTGATATTCTTCTAAACATCAGAAAATCGTCTGAATGGATTCAAAAACGGTAAAACCCAACTGTTTAACTCTGGGGGAATTGTAAAATGAGCCTATTTCCCAAAAAAAGTGGAGTATCTCTTTAAACAAGACTAATTAAGAGGGATAAAGATGAAAAATAGGAATAAATGTACCAATAATAGTAAATACACACACACACACACACACACACACACACACACATATATATATATATATATATATATATATATATATGTTACAGAGCCACAGTCTCTGTCAGGCACACACACATTCTTACAAGCTTAACCAAGCTTAGAGAAAAATCAAGTCAATCCGAAGCCTCAGTCCCATTATCATAGGAGTGTAAGATCATTAAAGGTGAGTGGAGATTGCAGTGTGTTGGAGCTGATAATGGTCTCCATCTCTGTCTGTCCGTGTCAGCGCTGGAGCCAGACTGTCACCTTTTTCCACCGCTGGCCTGACCCCAGCAGACCCCTCTTAAATGAGCCTGCATAATATTTCCACAGAGCTCTAATGATTGCTTTTCTCTCTCTGTGGTTTGCTCATTCTCTCACAGTTTCAAATGGGGGATACAGTCACATGGAGGAGGGGGATGATGAAGGCTTCGCAGCTAATCCTCATGGACAGGACAGCCTGAAGCTTCAGCAGAGGTAACATGGATTTGCCTTGGACCAAATTTGACAAACACGTCTCTTTTTCCTTGTAGGGATTTTCATTTAGTCGATTCATTTTGACACCACTTGGTCACGTGGCTTGAGTTTTTGTCAATGCATAGCGAAAGCAGGAGGATACTTCCTCTGTCAACAAACTGTATCACAGTATAGCTATGTAAACATTCGTGTTTTGAATTATACGCCAAATACTGTGGTGTGAGTTAATTTTAATGTTCACAGTCTTCAATTATTTTAACCCATCCTAACTAATTAAGTGTCAACTTTATGAGTGAGGCATGACAATTTTTAAAAAGTTTATTACAGTGCAAGAGGAATATATGGAATGGTGATTGATTTACGTACAGTAAACACTGACCCACTACCTACAGTACTTTTCTGTGTGACTAGTAAAAATGAGTAGTCACACAATGCCTATTCCTTGTTATAAGCAGTGACTCCATACTGTTGAAAAGAGATACTGAAGAAATGTGTGTGTGTGTGTTCCAGTCTGAGTTCAGGTCTTCATTCAGCTGACACTTCTTTGACTGACGGAGTTCAGCAGAATCATGTGAAGTCTTCTAAGAGCATGGATCTGGGTAAGACATTCAAGTTATTATGCAATTTCTCCATAAGTCTTCATTCTCTCCATCTTTTCCTTTTCTATACTTTTCTACATTTCTGCCATTTCTATTCTGCCCTATCAATATAAATGACAAAAAGGATACTTAAAAAAAAAAAAAAAAACTCACCAAACTCACTGATTACACTCACCAAAAAACTCTTAAACAAAAATTTGAAACTTAAGGTAACCAAGATGTTAACAAATAAGTTACCACGTTTATTTACTATACAGTGTACACTATCCTTAAAACATTTGAGGTCAGTAATTTATTTTTGAAAGAAATTAATTTTAAAATGTATTCAAATAGAAAATAGTTATTGTTATATTTGACAAAATATTTTTAACTGTATATATATATATATATATATATATATATATATATATATATAAATGCAGTTACCCCAAACTTTTGAACTGTTTTGTTCATGTCAAAGAGATCTTTTTGCTTTTCTGTTAGCTTTTGCTGATAATGAATTGTTCAACTTAAACCTGTTTCTTATAAATGTACCAGCCCCTGCTGATTTTAATGTTCTCTAATCTCGACTTCCATTGAGGTTTGTTGAGTGTAAATTTTGGACTCTGTGTGATGAGTGTGTTTTATGCGTGGTGTGTATGTTTGATGTATTGCGGTCCATTCACACCAAGAACGTGAACTATAAAGACAACTTATAACTATAGACAGTTTATTCTATGCAGTGTTGCCAAGTCCTCAGTGTTTTTCAGGGAATTGTGCTAGTTTTACACCGTGGGTTGTTTCTTTAGTCCACGGGATGAAGCCATTGGGATAGTTTCAACGGGACTGGTTTTGTCACGCAAGCCTGGTTGTAAGTACGCACTGACGTTTTGTCATGCTGTAAATGCTTGAGCTCTTAAAGCAGGATGGATTCTGATTGGCTGTCAGTGTTTTTATGGTTCATCCTTCTGAAAGTGTTTCCAACAATATCGTTTCACTGTGCCGTCATTGTTATAGTTGTGGTGTGGACTCTGCTATTTTTGTATATTTAGAAAGATGTTTATTATTATAGTTATCATCCATGGTGTGAATGGGCCGTCTTCTGTTCCTCTCCATCGGGCCTCCGGTTCCTCATAGAACGGATCTGCTCCCTCTCTGCAAGCCTGAATAAAATACAGTTTAAAACATATTCAAATAGATAGCAGTCATTTAAAATTTTAACACTATTTCACAATATTACTTGTTTTTTGCAGATTTTTTTTTTTTTTTTTGTCAAATAAATGAAGCCTTGGAGAGCATATGAGACATGTTTGAAAGAAAAAAAGAAGGTCTTACTAACCCCAAACTTTCAAATGGTATATTTAATATTTTTTGACACAAATTTAATTCCATAATGTACCTTTAAGTGGATTCCATATATATAAAACAGTATATATTTTAAATCTATCATATTAAGGTGAGAGGAAACCATCCATGTTCTACTAATCTCTTCAATGTGAAATGTGGACGGACTTGTCTAAGTGCATGCTGGGGGATGAATCAATGTTCCTCCTCACTGTAACACAATTAATCTCTCGTGTTCCAACATTACCTTGAAAATCTAATCAGCGGCGCTCTATATCTGATACATCAGCCACAGCTACAGACCACATCTGTGTCACATGATGGCTTTAAAAAAAACAATAATGAAAGTATTGAAGAGCTCAATATGATGAGGGCGGACGGGGGCTGCTCTCATGTGACCGTGGCAACTGTAGCTATAGTGGGCACAATGGCCAGCCTGAGCAAGACCCACGGTCCAATTCAACTATGAATAAAAAGCCCACTGTAATTTGGTTCCAAGTGCTGGATATGAAATTGGATCGTCTTTGATACGAGCGCTACGGTATTAATAATACATAACCAATAAAGAGAGCCCCCTTTAGTTCATGAATAATATAAAGTTTGAATAGTTTTTTTTAATTGAATTTTTTTGGTGTACGCTCATATTCACCTGAGCGTAGGCACATTAAAAGGAAAGAAATCAAGTGAATTATGCCACCGGCTTTCTCTCTGGATTCCTTGGGAAGCAGGAATAGCCGTGAGGATATAAACCTGTAGGCTAGATTTAGGTTTACAGCTGCAGTAATGGCTTTTGATTACGGTGCTTGTGCTGATATGACTGCTTTAGTGGCAATTTGTTTTCCTGACCGGTTGTCAGGCCAGTAACTTCATTAATGAAGAGTGTAGAAAGTACACCAGTCTTCTTTTGTAAGTGTTGATGGGGGCTATAAAGTAAATTGTCCCGGTTTACATCGTCTGTTGAAGATTCAGTAACTGTTTTGGAGTGGCTATATGATTTTTTACGAAACTTACAAAGAACAAATCAATCAAAAAAAAAAAACTAATCCTTTGAGTGTGTCTGTGTGTGTGGTATACATACATTTTTCCATGCAACTGATCAATACAAAACATGATCAATTTAATTTTTAATAAGAACTTTTTTTTATTACGGTTTTAATAAAATGTGTACTAAAACAACGTGAATGTAATAATAATAATATATATATATATATATATATACACATTTTTTTTTTTTTTTTTTGACAATTATGACCCAGGCTTTTTTTTTGCGAACTGTTACCATAACTTCTTGTGGGTGACCATAACTTTGGTTCAAACACCAGTTACCAGTTTCTACAATTTTCAGATCATGTCTCAACTCCTATTCTTCTCTTTATTCTGCCAAATGTTGGAGACTAGCTTTATGACGCCAATACCTGCAGCAGATATTCAGACAGGGAGCAGTTTAATGGAGTCCATTGGTTTGTGTCTTATCAAGTTTTTTTTTTTTTTTTTTTTTTTTTTTGCAAAGAGCCGCAGGGGAGAACAATGACAGTCTTCTCCCACCTTTCCTCCCTCAGGATGGAGGCAGGAAAGAAAAGGAATAATGAGAGCGAGAGAGGAGATTATAGAGGTGCTGGAGGTGCAGACGAGAAGAGAGAGACGTTGTGAGAGAGGAGAGAGCGTCCACTGGATGACTGCCTCTGAGGAATGAATGATCACTAAAACAGAAATGAGACGGCCGATTTTGCAAGTCATTTTCTGCACTGGGTTGATGGGTGCGACGGCTCTAAAAATTGAACGCTCACCATGAGAATTGAACAGTGCAGCACATTTTCACACATTAGCTAAGGATGACCCTATTAGCTCGGCTTTTTCCCATAACACACTGAATGAGAAATATTTCACACTCGTAAAATGCTGGATGCAGCAGAATTTCAATTACACTTCATTAGTTTTCCATATTTGGTTCTCGCAAAGTAATGTTTCGATGCCGGCAGTCGACTATGCCAACAATTGATTGGCTTTCATTATCAGGATGGTGTAAGTAAGTATGTGTGTTTCGTCTTTTTTTTCCAATAAACACACAGCAAAAGACTGTCCTCATTTAAAACAATGTGACTGGTTTATACAGTATGTGACATCATGGAGGAACAATGGATGTAGAGCCATTTTTTATCTCTCTTACCTGATCTTGACACTCATCCGCAACTACAGTATAGATGCCCATTATGGTGGTCATTGGCCATGGCTGACTTTTTCACCACAACCTTATAAAATTAAGTATTTCTAAATAGGGCTGGGTAAAGATTTATTTATTTTATTTTATTTTTAATACTGTGTGTATATATATATATATATATATATATATATATATATATATATGCTTTGATGGATGTTTGAGCTTTTTTGTTAAAAATGATTTGTATAGTTCCCACCTTGTAGTAAATCTCCATCAAAACAAATTGAATCAAGAACTTGTGAGTCTGTATCAAATCAGGAACCCTATGCTGATTACCAACCATATTGCATAAATGCTTATATACAGTATGTGATCATTCAATAGACAAAAACAAGAAATAGCTCAGTCTGAATAACCGCTGCAGTGAGTAAATTAGGTACTAGCATAACAGCGTTTCTCGCATAAACCTAATACTAGCCTCTCCAGAGAAAATGCTTCATCCCCATGTTCACGTACAATTGCACTTCAAAATGAATACTTCCACTTTGAGTTCTTTATTCCCGGCTTCTTTGATCAGAAACTGTCCTAAATGCTTGTCTTTCATCTTTGTGTGGAGGTCCAAGGCCATAGTGTGTTATTCTCCTGAGCTTTTGTTCGCACTAGCCGAGTAGGAATACATTTTGCTCGATCAGTGAATGTCTTTCCTGAGAAGCATTATTCATTGACCTATTTTGTATTGTTTTAACCCTGTTTCTGGAATCAGAATTAGATTTGAAAAGCTGGAAAACACTATTATCCTCATTCTGTTTTAGAAATGAGCCGAACAGAAAAACAGGAAATAATTGTTTAAAAGGGATGGACATTGTACAATGCATGTGCTTCAGACGGTACAGTTCTTTGATGGACGGTACACTTTGGTTAGACAACAGGCAGTCTTTATTTTCACCTTCATACTTTCAATGCCATTTGTTGCATTTTGGTGGTGGCTCAGGTCTCTGTTTCTGCTGTTGTCCCTGGTAGCTCCACCCACTGAAATCCTATTGGTCTAAAATCACACAAATGTCGTCCCACACCATTTGTGCTACGAACATGAATGATGGTTCACCCAAAAAATTTAAATTATGTCATCATTTACTCACCCTCATGGCAATTTTCAAATTATTGTGTTATGTTCTGCAGAGGAAATAGTCATACAGGTTTGGAACAACATGAAGGTGAGTAAATGAGGACATATTTATATTTTTTGGTGAACTATACCTTTAATTTGACTTATTAATTTTCTAATGGTTCAGACTTACTATTGTGACCTGGTTGATGACATATTGGTGTAACCAATCCTTTGACCCTAGTGACTATTTATCATATGGTGTATAAATACTATAATATCAGGATATTTTGACTTGGGTAAGTCAGTTTTTTATTTTAATATATATATATATATATATATATATATATATTTTTTTTTTTTTTTTTTTTTTCCACTAGGCATGTATTGTAAATGTATCCGAATGCTTCT